CTTCAGCTACAACATCGGCCTACGCAGGAGACGGTCTTGAAGTACTACGACCATGTGCTATCGGAACTCCAACAATCGATGCCGGTCCGCAGCTCTACGAGGAACCAAGGTGGAGGAGCGGATGGAGCTCTACATCTACGTGCCGTTGGCGGCCATGCTGGGACTGGAGAGGCCGGGAGTTCATCTTCGTCACCAACAAAGGCCGGAACTAAGCACAACACGCCGTGCCGCTTCTTTGTGTCGGAGGCTGGATGTCGACGTGGCCCTAGCTGCAAGTATTCTCACGACTTTGCGAGCAAGGAGGAGAAGCGAGCGCGGTGCTGGCATTGCGGTTCTCGACAGCACCGTCAAGCAGACTGTCCGGTGAAGGATCCTTCCAAGGCTCAGAAACCAACTTCGCCGAGCACGACAGTTGGACCCCGATCCACCAGTGCCACAGCGACCCCTGGGTCAATGGTGGCAGCTGCTTCGGTGCCCGAACCTAAGGCGGTTGGCCCCACTTCGGCGAGCTCAACTTTGACGTCCTCTACGACATCCGGAGAGACGGTGGTGACTGGAGAGCCAATTCAGCCCTTTACGCCCGAAGCCCTTCAGAACCCAGAGCTACAGAACTTCATGAAGGAGGTGAACACCATGCTACAAAGGTTTTCGAGGCTCAACCAGCTCTCCTTGATGGATGACAAGATGCTTGCGGCCAAGGTGGAGAAGTTCGAGGCTGAGTCTTCGAAGGGCAATGGTGGAACGACATCGTGGGCATTGTTGGATTCGGGAGCGACAAATCCATTTCGTCCGGCGAACAAGGGCGAGGAAATGGAAGCCATGCCGATTCAGGTGCAGCTAGCTGACGGTCAAGCAGTGCTACTACGACAAAATCGAGCTGGGACATTGATGCCTTACAGCAAGAAGCAAGCTGCAGAGAAGGGTACCAACACTGTTATAGTGCCTCTTGGAAGCTTGGTGCAGGAGCTTGGATGTACTGTTGCCTGGACCCGTCGTGGGTTGGAAGTCAAGCACCCCACCTACGGAGTGATCACGACTCATGTGTCAGGGGCTTGCCCATTTATTGGGGAAGCAAAGGCCTTGGAGTTGATAGGCGAGATAGAGAACAGGAAGTTGGAGCAGTTGAAGGTCGCAATGGTTGAAACTCAGCTTCGACTACATGGTGTGGAAGCGCAACTCAACTATGGAGCCCAGCTTTCGGAGTATCGCCGAACCGGAGGTCGGACTGAAGGCTTGAAGGCCCTGATGTGTGAGGATTCAGTCTTCGGGTGTCTGACGGAAGCTCAAAGGTGTGCGTTGGCTCAGGACATTGACCTCAGCGACAAGGCTGGCCACAAGTACCTGAAGGCTTTGCCTGTGAAGCGCGCTATGAGGAAGAAATTGATGACCACCCAATGGTTGGCGCACGTCTACTCCGGGGAAGGTGGCAGCAAGGAGCTCAAGGTGTTTGAAGATGACTGCGTTACACTACTTGAGGTGGACTTGGGCATAAGCAAGGCGTTCAACATGAGGGAGCCGAGCGGTGTTTACAAGGCATTGTTGTGGGCTGCCATGCGAGGCCAGCTGTATGGTCTCATTGGGGGACCTCCGCGTGGTGAGGCCTGCGGTGAGCTGGTCCTGAAGCAGATGTTCCTCTGGAATGTTGCGAGGCTTACAGCGGAGGAGCACGAGGTCACATGCCCCATATTTGCTATGACGATGCCAAAGAAGAGCGAGCTATGGAGATCACAGATGTGGAAACGGTTCCAAGGCTCGATGGGTGTTGTTCTCAATGCTGGCAGACCCGATGTGTTCTTGGCCTCCAACTTGGTTATGAAGGACTCGGGATATGATGCTTGGGAGCAGACGGCCGAATCAGGAGCCTTCGTTTGGACCAGTGCCTTCAGACAGGCTCTGGTGAGAGCCATTCATCATCAACGAACTCGAGTTGCTCTTCGCCGTATGGAGGGACCCCTTAGCGCAATGACAAAGGAGGAGTTGGCCCGTTGGACACAGCATGT